AGACCTTGAAAAGGAAACAAACCTAGGACCTTCCAATGTGGCATTCCGTGGAGAATTGTGTTACCACTGCACCCCCACAACTGGCCATGGTTCTTTTTGAGATTCTTCTTTGTATTACTGGTCAACTCTTTGATAGTGTTTTTCTTTTATGTACGGATATGCCAATGAAGAATACAATGACTTCTTGAACAGTTCAGGGACCACTTACTTTAGTTTGTGCTTCAGAGATTATAGCACCTGATCGTCATTGCTTTCATACTATTACTGCAAATGCCAGCACAGTGAAAATAGCAAATAAAATAATGTTGTTATTTTGGAAATAATTTAGACCTAGTGGACTTCATAAAAGGGTCTTAGAACATCCAGGATTCCAAAAGCCATAGTTTGAAAATCATGTTCTCAGTTATTCATCACTAGCTATTTCGGCTTCATTTTACTTAATTTCTGAGCCGTCTTGTTTGCCCTAATTGCATTCTGTTTCTAGCCAGAGCCTTTTAAAGTGACATTCAAAACTATGATTTTCTAGTTGTGACTATTTACTTCAATTAAATTGTTTTTGTTTGTTCAGTTTTGCTATGGGGCGAATGTGCTTGCTAGGACAGAGAAATAGAAATCACCCCCTAGAGGGGATAGCCATGCCACAGTTCTTCTCTCAAGGGTGATTTCAACTTGCTGGGTCCAGGACTTGAACTGAACTATGAAATTGGCTATGTGCCTTAAACACCACACCACCGGTTGGCCCACTTCAGCTAGTTTTACCTTCACCTTACATCTCCCTCCACCAGTTTACTCTTATCCTCATTTATTGGTAGCCTTCATCCTTGGGATCATCTCTTTTGGAACAAGCCTATTAGTCATCATGTTTCTTCATATTTCTGTTAACTCAGTTTCTAACAATGGGATACTTGAAATCATTTTGGCTATGTATCAGGATTCTTGAAAAATAATATTTGAATCTGAGACTTTCTGATATTCATTAAACACAGATTATATTCAGGTAACTAGCAAGTCACATTCTATCTGAAATGACTCACGTTTATCTGAAATGGCTTTCTTTTTCCATTATGATTATCTTACCTATAGTATTGTCTTAATTTGAATAATTTCTTGGATGTAAAGAGTACATGGCATGTCTTTTATTTCCTGCTACCCACCACCTCCGAGCCGTTATTTTTTACAGATGATTTTAAATATCCAAATCTTGGGGGCATGATGGTTAAGGCAGCTAGATCCCGATCCCATGTGGCTAGCTGCAGGGAGTGAGTCCCAGATCCAGCCGCTTAAAAAATAAGCTGGGTGTGTGTGTGTGCTTCCAAAACTCCCAAGAGAGTGGAGGAGAAGGGATTGTGGCGTGGCCATCCTCCTTGGGGGTTAGAGGGGGAGAGCACTATCTTACACTCTCTTCTCTGTCTCTCTGGCACATGCATATGCCCTGTAACAAGAAATGATAATAAAAAAAGTGCCATATAATCATATAAGAAGATGATAAATAAATTAAGGAAACAAATATCTTTTTTTAATTTTCCTATATTCTCAAGTATTAGTTTTAACCTTGTAGTTGTAGGTGCAGTGGGCATTGGACTGGTCTGACAGATTGGGCAAAACATTAAAAGGTACTATTAATTTGTAAGGTGTCAGATTTTTACTGTATGGATAAAGCTAATAACAGCTGAAGAAATTATCCCCACTGAATAGTTGGTTATACTGGTGTCTGAAACAAAGTGAACTATTCACAGGTAGTCTTTTAAGATTTATATACATATATTGGCTTCCTTTTATGTTATTAGGAGATCACGAAGCAGATCAAGGAGGCGATCACATTCTAAGTCGAGGAGTAGACGACGATCCAAAAGTCCGAGACGGAGAAGATCTCATTCCAGAGAGAGAGGTAGAAGATCAAGGAGCACATCAAAAAACAGGTATAACTGAAGTTTATATTAGGTTAAAGATGTTATTTTATTTTAGTTCCCAAGACCCCAGTTAACTTAGTAACAAAAGAAGTTGGTGGCAGGTAATGCTATACAGGGGAAGAAACTAGAATCTGAGGAGGCTGATACATGTTCTCATGTGCTGCCTTGTAAACTGAGACTTCAGCTTACAACTGAAGGCCTAGGTAAAATTTTATGGTAGTAAAAAGTTTTTAGTCATCATACTCTACTGTCTTATTTTTCCCTTTCCACTTAACCACTGCTAAGGATTTATTGCTATCACCCATTCCTTGTAGTATGTCAAGAATTTAAGGCAGGCAGCTATGATTTCTTTCTCATTAAATACTTAATTATGTAATTAAAATAAGATACAGGGGCCAGCAGGTGGCATGTCATTAAGGTGCTAGACTCCCACATAGCTGACCATGATTCAGGTCCTGGACCTGGTGGCTCACTCGCTCGCTCGCTCTTTCTTGTCAAATTAAAATATAATAACAAATTGACTTAGATTAAAGAGGTAATTCTTGAAAAAACAATATATGAAACTGAGAGCCAATGAGATTTCTTGTTGGAAAGTATATAACTCAACTAAAGAAAAAAGAGGAGCTGGGTGACTTTACTGAGTGTTCTCTCCGTAAAATTGGGCTTTTAGTCCCCAAAAAAGGACTTTGAAGAATCTAGAGACAGTTATTAAATCTATTAGTATTTAATCACCAAACATACCAAGAAATTGGCCAACATCCTAATTGTTTCCTTGCCACTTGGTCTACTGTATAAGAATTTTCTGTGAAATAACAGGAAAATAGGATTAGGTCCGATTGTATTTTTTTTATTGTAGTGCTTTATAAATTTGCATTTACTGAGTCTTATAATGCATTCATAAGTTGTGTTCATTTCATTAGAGACAAAAAGAAAGAAGACAAAGAAAAGAAACGTTCCAAAACACCACCAAAAAGTTACAGCACAGCCAGACGTTCTAGAAGTGCTAGCAGGTAAGATGGCTCCTTGAAATCTTAATTTAAAAAAAAAAAAAAAATTTACTTGTGGAGAGTATCAGTAGGCTATGAACATGTTTTTCAGATACAGGTAAATATTTTATTGTTGGAAGACTCACTCAGCCTTTGCCATTATTGTTTGAAAGGCAATTTGTGAAGAATAACCTGAGGTTTAACTTTATTTTTACTTAATTTTTATGGCATAGAGAGTATTTAAAATAAGAAACTTAGCAGTTTGGGGGGGGGTTTAAAGTTTTTTGCAATAGGGCAGGGCAGTATGCTCATCAGAGAGACAGAATGCGAGAAATCACCCCCCAGTGGGGGTGGCCACACCACCGTCCTTCTTCCCCAGTCACCTCTCGGGGTTTTGGACATGTGCACCTGGCATGAGTTTTAAGCCAGCGGGTCCAGAACTCAAACCACAGTCAGCTACATGGGAAGTCCAGCAACGTAACCATTACACCTTCTGCTGGTCCCCAGAAATCAGTTTTTCTAACTCAAGAATTTTTCTTTCCCATATAGTGATTCTTTGATAAATTAATGGGAGGCTATGTGAGTTCTGATTTGTGATTCTTACATCTTTAAACTCATACTGAAAATTGAAACAGTGTTATAAATTTTAACAAAATATTTTTCATACTTGGAATTCGTATGGTACACTAGTAAGGTGTTTTCCTTTTAATAAAAAGATGAACCTGGTTATTTAATTTATTTATAAATAAGAGAGTCAGAGAGAGACACAGACAGAGGCATTTATCTCCAATGGGGTCTTCATGTCCCCAACATCCCTAGTCCCAGCCACTCAGAGTCTTGAGCATGTATATCTGGTGTATACAGTGAGGCCTTAGGACTTGAACCTGGAATCCTCCCATATGGTTTCAGCATTATAAGCATTGCATAACTACTGCAACACCACAGCAGTCCAGTAAGGGATTTTCTTGAAATCTTAAAACTGTACTTTTTGCTGCACTGTATGTTTTATTAATCTGTCTTATTTACATTTACTAAGAGGCTCATGCCATATTTTTTAAATTAAAACCCCAAAGCATAAAAGTTTAAATGTATAAAACTTGAAGAAAAAAGAAGTGACTCTTCATGACATTGAATGTGCTAGTGGTTTCTTATATCATAAACTAAATAAAAGAAAGAAAAGGATAAAGTAGAGATAACCAAAATTAAAAGCTTGTGTTTTCAGAAAATAGTATCAAGAGGATAAAAATACAAACCACAGACTGCTAGAATATTTTGCACTTTGTATATCTGATAAGGGACTTATACTTAGTATATATAAAGAATTCTTACAACTTAGTAATAAAAAGGCAAACAACACGATTTAAAATTGGGCTAGAATCTAGGACCAGCAGATGGTGTAGTGGTTAAGGCACTGTACTTACATCAGATACAGGTAAATATTTTATTGTTGGAAGACTCACTCAGCCTTTGCCATTATTGTTTGAAAGGCAATTTGTGAAGAATAACCTGAGGTTTAACTTTATTTTTACTTAATTTTTATGGCATAGAGAGTATTTAAAATAAGAAACTTAGCAGTTTGGGGGGGGGTTTAAAGTTTTTTGCAATAGGGCAGGGCAGTATGCTCATCAGAGAGACAGAATGCGAGAAATCACCCCCCAGTGGGGGTGGCCACACCACCGTCCTTCTTCCCCAGTCACCTCTCGGGGTTTTGGACATGTGCACCTGGCATGAGTTTTAAGCCAGCGGGTCCAGAACTCAAACCACAGTCAGCTACATGGGAAGTCCAGCAACGTAACCATTACACCTTCTGCTGGTCCCCAGAAATCAGTTTTTCTAACTCAAGAATTTTTCTTTCCCATATAGTGATTCTTTGATAAATTAATGGGAGGCTATGTGAGTTCTGATTTGTGATTCTTACATCTTTAAACTCATACTGAAAATTGAAACAGTGTTATAAATTTTAACAAAATATTTTTCATACTTGGAATTCGTATGGTACACTAGTAAGGTGTTTTCCTTTTAATAAAAAGATGAACCTGGTTATTTAATTTATTTATAAATAAGAGAGTCAGAGAGAGACACAGACAGAGGCATTTATCTCCAATGGGGTCTTCATGTCCCCAACATCCCTAGTCCCAGCCACTCAGAGTCTTGAGCATGTATATCTGGTGTATACAGTGAGGCCTTAGGACTTGAACCTGGAATCCTCCCATATGGTTTCAGCATTATAAGCATTGCATAACTACTGCAACACCACAGCAGTCCAGTAAGGGATTTTCTTGAAATCTTAAAACTGTACTTTTTGCTGCACTGTATGTTTTATTAATCTGTCTTATTTACATTTACTAAGAGGCTCATGCCATATTTTTTAAATTAAAACCCCAAAGCATAAAAGTTTAAATGTATAAAACTTGAAGAAAAAAGAAGTGACTCTTCATGACATTGAATGTGCTAGTGGTTTCTTATATCATAAACTAAATAAAAGAAAGAAAAGGATAAAGTAGAGATAACCAAAATTAAAAGCTTGTGTTTTCAGAAAATAGTATCAAGAGGATAAAAATACAAACCACAGACTGCTAGAATATTTTGCACTTTGTATATCTGATAAGGGACTTATACTTAGTATATATAAAGAATTCTTACAACTTAGTAATAAAAAGGCAAACAACACGATTTAAAATTGGGCTAGAATCTAGGACCAGCAGATGGTGTAGTGGTTAAGGCACTGTACTTACATAGCTGACCGTGGTTCAAGTCCTGGACCTGACTACTTAAAAATCATGCTGGGTGCATTTGTGTGCATACCCAAAATTCCAGGAGGAGAAGGGATTTTGGTGTGGTTATCACCCCAGGAGGGTAACTTCTCACTTTTCCTCTCACTGTTTGTCTCCTGCAAGCACACAGCACACAGGCCCTATGGCAAAAATAAGAATTGGGCTAGAACCTGAATCGACATTTCTCCCAATCAGTTACACAAATATCTAATAAGTACATGAAAGGATAAAATCAGTATTGTTAGTTACTCAAGTAATGCAAATCAAAGCCACAACTAGGTAGGACTTGACACCCACTAGTATAGTTAAAATTAAAAAGACATGTTAAGTTTGATGTGTATGTGGAGAATCTTCTGTATTGCTGATAAAAATATAAAAGCCAGGTCCCACGTGGCTGATTATGGTTTGAATCCCAGCCCTGGCAACTGGAAAATACATCAGGTACGTGTGTGTCCATAATACAGGAAGGAGAGATGGAGAAAGTATTGCAGTGTGATCATGTTCCATTAGGTGGGACAGGGTGCCTTTTCCCCATTCCTTGACACAGACCCACACCAAGTATATGTGCCCTCTGGCAATAACAAGAAAAAAGAAAAATGATACAAGCACTCTGGCAGTTCCTAAAAAAGCTTAAACATAGAAGTTTTTGACCTAGCAATTTTACTATTAAGGATATACCACCAAAAACACACATCCACACAGAAACTTGCACACAAATGTTCATTAGCTTTATTCATAATAGTCAGTCATTAACTTGTCCTTCAAGAAATGGATAGGCAAAATGGATTGTGCTTACAATGGAATATTAACTGGCAGTACAGAAGAGTAATAAATGATATGATATGAACCTTGAAAACCTCAAATGAAAGAACCCTTTTGCAAAAGGACATGTATTGTGAGATTCTGCTTACTTGAATTGTTCAGGGTAGGCAAAACCAGAGAGAAAGTAGTGATTCCTGGTGGCATAAAGAAGATCAGGGTGGCTAAAAGGGTACTGGATTTCTTTTGGTGGTGATGAAGCTGTTCTTATAAGTCTATAGAAAAATTAAACCCAGCTTATGTACAGGAAGAAATGCTAAACCAGATCTGAGAGAGAAATAGTAAAAAGGACTAAGAGACTGAGGCCAACAGTTGATGTAGAGGTTAAGGCACTACATCCCACACAACCAGAATCCCAAGAGGAAAATGGAGAAGGGATTCTGGGATGGCCTCCCATGATCTGGTGGTTGACCAGATCCTACATGCCAGCCACAGTGGAAAACAGTGCTGGATTATGTGCATATGTGCCCCAAATCTTGACAGGATGGCAAAGTGGAGGAGAAGGGATTGTGGCAGAACCACACCACACTGGGCATGTTTTCTCCCTCACCTCTCTCTCTTTTTTCTCCCCCTCTGGAATGCACATATACCTCCGGCATTTTTTTTATGTGTTAGGTATGTTGTTCTGGCAAACTAAATAAATACTTGATTTAATGAATATTCAGCTGTGTGTAATGTTTCCAGGATAGAGCACAAAAGGCTACAAGGGTAGGGAAAAAATATATACATTTGGAAACTTGTTAACTGGAAATACAGGATTGATTGTTCTGTGTCTAAATTATACATATACATGGTCATCTTGCAAGTTTTACAACTTTTAAGAATTCAGAATGGGGTCAGAATAGAAGGCCACAATTTAAAAAAAAGGAAATTTGTTTATCATAAATCGATTGTTCAGGGACCAGCAGTTGGCGTAATGGCGGTGTGGTTGAACTCCCTTGTAGTCGACTTTCAAGTCCCGGACCCGGTGGCTTAAACTCACGCCAGGCACATGTGCGTGCATGCCCAAGAAGAGAATGGAGAAGGGATTGTGGTGTGGCCATCCCCACTGGGGAATGATATCTCGCTTTCTCTCTGTCTCTGTCTGGCGAGTGCACACTCCCTATAGCAAAAACCTCTCCCTCCACCCACCCCACCCCCCCCCAAAAAAAAAAATTTGATTGTTTAAATTATTGTTGGTGAGAGTGAGGAGTTGCTGGGATATAAGGTGGCAAATTTGATTTCTGTCTTTAGTTCTCTGGAATTCATGTGATGATTTAGATGTTGATTTTAGGGGGGGGTATTTTGCTAGCGATTGCTTTCTGTCGCACAACATTATGAAAGAATTCTATACCAATTTAGTGTACTGCATGTTTAAATATAAAACTGGTTTCTTCAATACTAGTTAAATTCACACTTTTTCCCTCTTTTATTAAGTTTCTCAAGCTGAATATTTCTAATATGTTGTCAAAATGACTTTGAGAATTACTAAAAATTAGGTGTTGTGTTGAGGGTTAAAAAAGAGAGATACATGGTTTGGAAATGTATATTTGATTGTTTAAAACTGTTTTACTAGAATCATAATGTAGGAGTTCCTTGTGGAACTCCAACATAGACACATCTGTGATATGTCTGCATTTTTTTAGATCATACTGTATTTTAAAGCCTACTTTGCATATTGGTGATTCTAGAGAGAGACGACGACGACGAAGCAGGAGTGGAACAAGGTCACCTAAAAAGCCTAGGTCTCCTAAAAGGAAACTGTCTCGTTCACCATCCCCTAGGAGGTAAGAACGATAAACTTTTAGATCTGTCCTCTTCTTTTTCTGGAATTACCATATTTAAGAATACATCATTACAAGTCTCTCCATGACTCAAGGCTTAAACATAGTTTTAAGATTGGATGTTTTAGACTTGTAACCAAATTATTACAAGCTTTGCATGCATTTCTTGTGTATAACCTGTGCCTTTATTATCCAGTGTTTGCTATCCTATTTGTATCTTACGAGCATGAGGAAGCTGTCTCTTAAGCTAGTTGAAACCACTTGCTACAACTTGAGGTGAAATTGCTTGAGAGGTTCTTTCTGAAAACTGTATTTTTTTAACAGATTTTACTGTCATTCTAGACATAAAAAGGAGAAGAAGAAAGATAAAGACAAAGAAAGAAGCAGAGATGAAAGAGAACGATCAACAAGCAAGAAGAAGAAAAGTAAAGATAAGGAAAAGGAACGGGAAAGAAAATCAGAGAGTGATAAAGATGTAAAAGTATGTTTACAAACTAACTTATTTTGGTATTTGGGGTGGTGTTAGTATTTCTAAGAAGTGGTTTTTCTTTGAAGAAATTTACTTTTATTATTTTCCTGGGCAAAGCAGGTTACACGGGATTACGATGAAGAGGAACAGGGGTATGACAGCGAGAAAGAGAAAAAAGAGGAGAAGAAACCCACAGAAGCAGGATCTCCCAAAACAAAGGAATGTTCTGTGGAAAAGGGAACTGGTGACTCACTGAGGGAATCCAAAGTGAATGGTGATGATCATCATGAAGAAGACATGGACATGAGTGACTAAATTTTGCCTCTGAAAATCCAACTGTGTACATGCATCAGTGTCATTCCTTTGTGTGATTTCTTAATGCTGTATTTGTTCATCTCAAACCTAGATGTATACAGCTCTGAGTTATAAATGGTTATAAAGCTCCTGATACTGATAATAGTAATTTACATCCAAAGCTTTTTTAAAATGGTACCTGGATAACCAATTTTTGTCATGGTGAAATCTGATTGAGTATCCAAGCAGTTTTACTATTCTGGTGCTGCTTCCTAACAGAAATGAAAAGCTGCATGCATCTACAGCAGGCATGGATTGTTTATGTTGTATGATCTCCTTTATTAAGTTCACTTAACGTATTTCTAGAATTTGATTCATTGCCGTAATAGAGCCATGTAGGGAATGCACTGATTGCATGTTATTGTGGCAAGAATATCTTAAATGTCATTAAACCCTCCAAATATGATGGATCTACTTACGGTCTTGTTTGTTGACATGACAGATTAACATTCTTAATAGTTACATCTGGAATTGAGCATTTGAAATAGATAATCCTTTAAGCCTTGTGGCTAAATTTTTGTGGCTTTTGTTTAACTTTGAAAGGTTATATATGCACTAACCTTTTTTGATGGCTAATTAGGCATTAATTACAGAAACAAGATTTCAAATAAAACTGTCTTTGGCAGTAAGTAAATAGCATATTTTGAAATAGAGTTGTATACTTTTTCATAAGGTGTTTGGAAATTTTTTTTCCTGAAATAATTTATTCCACGTCTACATCAGTGAAAGCTATCTGCCTATTCTGAATCCATCTGTAAAAGAAACTTTTGTCCTGATTTTCAGTTTTATTAATTTGTTTATGCTCAGTGTTGGAAAAAGGGGATAGTGCATTTTAAATTGACCTTCATATTCTTTTTAAGTAAGACAAATCTACTTGATAATGTACTTTTTATTTGATCTCAAGTTGTATAAAACCAATAAGTTGTGTTACTATTACTGCAGTAGTAATCTTATGCACACAGTGATTACATGTTATATACAAAGTAGTTAGGCAACTGTTTTCTTAGTTACAGGAGTTTCAAGCTTCACTTTTGTGCAGTAAAAACAAAAGTAGGCTACAGTCTGTGCCATGTTGATGTACAGTTTCTGAAATTGTTTTACAAGACTTTGATAATAAAACCCTTAAACTTATGTCCATGTTCCTGTTAAACTGTATTTGTATTTATTTACACTATTGAATGTAAGACATTTACCTCATTCATTTTACAAATTCCCTTTCTATACACCTGTTTAAATACAGTGGCAAGGTGAAATCTATCACTCTTGATGATTACCGTCAGCATTGTCAAAAGATTTAATTCCTCTACCTAAAACAATCTTTTTCTTTGCTTAGTATATATTTTCTCATAATTTGGGTATGGGAATGGGGTTGGATACAACAGAGAACTTCAGGATAAAGAAATCCCACCTATATCTAAGTATATTTTCAGTGAAATATAAATATTTGCCTTTTCTGGAATAGTATAGATGCTGTCCAATATATATCTACTGTACAATACTAAATGGTATATTTATTCATTAATGAAATGAATAGTGTTTGGGTTACTGGGATTAAAGGAATATAAGACTTGGAATGTTAGCCTTCATCCAAGTTTTGAGTATAAATTGGTGTTTTGGTTTTTTTTTTTTTACTATTCTAAAATGGAAATGCCATATAGAAAAAGCAGCATTGTTTTTACAGTTTGTAGTAAGTAACTTTTTAAAGATTTTTGTCAAGGAATTTTGTCTATAGTGAGTATAAGAAGTTCTAGTAATGGTCCTAATAATCACCGTGTTTTTAAAAACAAGGTTGAAAGCAAATAACATTTCTGTAAACTTATAAAATCTTTTTAGTAAAGATTGAACCATGTGACATTGCTGGTTTTGTAAATCAAAAGCAAGTAAAATATTGGCAGTTGCATATGGTATTATTACTCAAGTCTGTTTCCCTCACTTATAATCTCTGAATTCTAGTGACAACTTTTCTAAAAGGGTTCAACATTTTTGTTTTAAAATAGTGCCACCAACTTAATACACTGCAGTGACGGGAATTCATATTGAGGATATTTGTTTTCAGTGAACTTATTCCGCATAAAGGTAGTGTTGCACTGAGGCACAGCCTTCTACCAGATAAGGTAACCAGTTGAAATCAAGGGAACACTGCCTCTACACTGAGTTTTGTTCTGTAATTACTAGTAAAATGATAAAAAATAAAAGCGTTTTGTTAGAAAATGTCTGTCTTTATTTATTTGCTTAAGTTTTTCAGGACTGAATGAGGTTGTGGCGGCTATATAACAAGCCTTTTCCAACTGAAAGATTTAAAGATTCAGTCATGAGTTTGGGCTGTATTTAGTACAGCTGGAGAGACTTATGAAGTAGTTGGTTAAAAAAAATGCCGGTGTGCCTGGCTCAGTTAGTGGTAGCCACTGTTTCATTATTGAGATTGTTGAAACTATATAATTTAAAGAGGAGGTAATGTTGAAGCAAAGACATTAACATAAGTTGCATACAAACTGATAAGGTTATGTTGCCTTTTGCATTTTCCTGAAGTCTGGTTAAATTTCCTTGTAATAATTCTATATATTAAGTAGAAAACTAGACCCTTGGGGCAAGGGGGAAAAAACAGCTTCTAGTGGAATAGTAAAACTAATTTTACGTTAACCTTGAGTCTGCATCTTAAAATTGATTCTTAGATCTTCGTGTGCCATCAAGGTTCATACACTGTAATTAAAATTATAAAGCTCACTGTCAGTTCATCGGATGAAAAACTGAGGGTCCATGCTGTTTGAAAGTTACACTGACCTTTTAAAACTGGTATTGAGTTCTCAAAACTATCCAGTGGTTTCTCTCTGCTGCTGAAAATATTATCAAGTACAAATAGTTGTTTGAGTTAAATACAGATGCATGCAATTGTCACTGGTACTTTGAAAGCATCCAGAATATGACTGTCATTATGACTTGACTAGCAGAAGTATTCTTTTCTAAAGACTAATTCCAGAGTTGTAGGTATTTGTACCAGATTTTTCATTGCCAGGGTGCATATGGTTGCCAGAGAGAGTACCCTCCCCCAAATGGGGCATAGTCAAGCCACAATTTCTCATCTTACATTTGTCTACTGCATCAGAATTTGGGAGATATGCAGACATCTGCAAAGTTGTTTTTTTTTTTTTTAACTGCCAGGGCCAGGATTCAAACAGTGGTCAGCCTTGTGGGAAATCTAGCTCGCTTTACACAGCACTTAACCACTGCCCTACGGGCCCAGCTTTAAGAGTTGTAGATTTTGGGACTTCACTCAAAATATTTTTTTTGCTCCTATTTTATGTCAAGGTATGTGAAATTCATTCAGACATTTGTAGCAAGGAGGATCATGCTACTTCACTTACCAGTGGAATTTAAAAGTATAAGGTGTAGGGACCAACCACCAGATGGTGTAATAGTTACGTCACTGGACTTCCACATGGTCAACTGCAGTTCAAGTCCTGGACCCACACTGGCTTAAGACTTACGCCAGGTGCATTTACATATGTGCCCAAAATCCCAAGAGTAAGAGAAGGGATTGCAGCATGGCCCCCCGCCCCCCCCCCCAGCCTCCCGGGAGGTGATTCTCGCTTTCCGTCTTGCCACCAAGTGCATGCGCATGCAACCTACAGCAAAAATAAATCTCTCAAAAAAAAAAAAAAATGTATAAGGTGTAGGGGCCAGCAATGGCATGGTGAAGATGGCTGGATCCCACATGGCTGACAACATGGTTTGAGTCCTGGACCCAGCAGCTTGAAAGACATGCCAGGTGCATGGTGTGTCTGCTCAAAATCCCAAGAGAGAACAGAAGGGATTGTGGTGTGGTCATTCCCTAGGGGATGCTTTTTCACTCTCTGGAGAGCACAAGTGCCCTATAATAAAATTTAAAAGGATAAGGTTATATTATTAATCTAAATTCAAAGAAAATGTCAATATTACATTTTCTAAATAGTAAAATATCCTTTCAAAAATAATTACACATTGGGAACCAGCAGTTAGCATAATGAGTATATCGCTGGATTCCCACATAGTCGACCACGGTTCACGTCCCAGACCCAGTGGCTTAAAACTCAACGCCGGGTGCGTGTGTGTGCATGCCCAAGATCCCAAGAGGAGAATGGAGAAGGGATTGTGGCGTGACCATCCCCCCTGGGGGGTGATTTCTCACTTTCTGTCTCTGTGTCTCTCTCTGTCTGGCGAGCGCACACGCCCTATAGCGAAAAACCTCTCAAAAAAAAAAATAATTACACATTCACAGTTTTCAAAAGTCTCAATTTATTAAAGGTTATTTTGCAGTGTACTGTCACTTAAATTAGTACCATGATAAAAAAAAAAGTTACCTCATGATTTGTGCATGAGAAATAAAAGTTCTATGGTCACAAAAAATGGAATGTTCCAAATATATTATTCAGTGGTCCCAAGATATAATTTTAAAGATTTTTGTCTGCCTATTATCTAGATATAAATTGGTTGAACTGTAGATACATTAAAAGTAATTTTCAATATAATAAATGTAAGAACTGCCCTTTTTTATTCACTAATTGACAAAATTTGTTAAACATCAACTTTTGAAATACAAGCATCAAGTAGGTTAAGGTTTTTCTTTCCACAAAATTAACATATTCAAGAGTCAGTCAATCAGAGAAGCAGAACCACTAGGAAAAAAAATTATGGGGATTTGCCATTAAGAATTGTGAGATTTTTCAGATAGTGTGATGATTAAGGCGCTGGACTGCTGCATGACCAACCATCGTTTGAGCCCGGAAACTGGCAGCTTCAAAAATCACTCTAGGCACAGGTGCATCATGCCCAAAATCGAAGAGAAAGGAGCAGAGATGGGCATGGCCATAACCCTGCCTCGGGGGTGTTTCCTCATTTTCCGTCTGTTCCTCTCCAGGGAGTGCATATGCCCTATGAACAAAACAAAACAACCAAAAACAAACACACACACACACAGAATTGTGAGACCTTGTTAGTCTGTAAGTCTTTCTTTGTATCTGATGCTGAATTTTGAAGTCCACGGGCAGGTGGGATGGGAAGACGGGTGACAGAATACATGGACTCACACAGACTACAGACTACATCTTGTTGCTTCTGATGTAGGCATGAGTGTCTCACTGCAACGATTTTTTTTAAGAGGTTTTTGTTACAGGACACATGCACTTGCCAGAAACAGAGTAAGTGAGAAACTCCCCAGGGGATGTCAACACACAATCCCTTTCTCCTTGGGATGCACACACACTTAACCAGCATGATTTTCAAGCCACAGGTCTGGGACTAGAATGGCAATCGGCCACACAGGGAGTCTAGTGACATAAACACTATGCCATCTGCTGGCCAGGAAACCAGGATGTTTACCATGGAGTTCCACCTAGCTCGGAAGTCTGAGAAGCAGACAGAAGAACCCAGTGCAAAGTGGACAAATGTAGGCATAGCTGTTGCCCATCTGAAGTGGGTAGCAGACATGCCACAATGTAGATATTTACTTCTGTCCTCCAAAACTCCTACACCATGTTCATTTAAAACATCTTAGCCAGTCAGTCACTGTCAGACTTCTTTAGTGACTAATAAGTATATGGGAGGAATGGGTGAATAAGTATTCAGGGTGGTTTTTGTAGTTATACAACAAAGTAAAGCCATCTAGATTTGGAAAACATCCTCAAAACCAGGAACAACCAACAAATACCTTTTTTATTTCTAATACCTTAAGAGATTCTGCTTCAGTAATTCTAGTGTGTGAAACGGTCATCCTGCGTACTACACATACCGTGATGAGTAAAGGTACTGCTAGTGTATAGTGAGCTGTGACAATTTTAAAGCTCTTCATAATGTAATCCAATAAGGATGACCATGACCTAAAAATATAGCAATACTTGACATACTACAAAATGTTTAGAGGGCAACCAAAGACACTGTTGCCCCAATATTCTGACATAAAATGCTTTCCAAAAGTAGTTTTTGCTAATTTATAGTATGCAAACCAATCACAGGCTTTTACTTCAGTTTGCAGTCTGATGAGAGATTTAACACTTGTCCATTTCCCTCTGAGCAACTTACACCAAGAGTTGTAGTTTCTACAGTTTCCAAATATGGAAGTTTGGTGAGAATGCATTTGTTAATTTTAGAAACCATAAATATTCCTTTTGCCATAGTTAATAGTAAGATAAGAGGCACACTGTGTCCCACACTAACCTGAGATCAATAATTCTTTCACTCAATTTTAAGAGCTGGCATACTACAAGGACTTAAGATTCTTCCGAAATTTTTTACTCCAACTTTCTCTGCCATGTTGCTTAAAATGAAAAATAACAAAAGGCAATGCTCCTTTCCGTATTTACTGACAGTACTTCTCCAGCCCTTTCATGGCCTCAAAACAGGATCTTGGCTGTAGACAGAGCAGGGATAGGACTTACTAATCATTATTCACCATCTTCCCTCGAGGTATGAAGGACATACTGTATGTGAATAATACTGAAAACCCATTTTTATTAGAGTAAGACTCTTACATTGGTTTTTAAACCAGGAGGAAATTAGTTTTTCTTCTATGAGCTATCAGCTGACAGATGTGTCGATTTTAAAACTTATCACATTGTACTTAAAATAATCAGGGCATCTGCTTTACACTGAACTTCCCTTTTATGAAGTTTGACAAGTCTCTCAATATGAGTATCTACAGAGGGCAAACTACCTCATTAGAAAGTATTTTTCTTGAAGACAGAAACCATATTTTTCTTAGATGACCATAAGGTGGCAGGAATACTGAGTAATTCTAAATGGTCATTTAATGGGGCCAACAGGTGGCACAGTGGTTACGGCACTAGACTCCCACAGGGCCAACCACAGTTCAAGTACTGGACCTGGCAGCTTTGAAAATCATGCTGGGGGTGTGTGTGGATGTGTGCCCCAAATCCCAGGAGAATGAAGAAGGACTGCACCATGGCCATTCCCCCTGGGGGATGATTTTCACTTTCTCGGTCACTGTCTCCTCTTTCTCTCCCAGGAGCACATACACCCTTTGGCAAAAACCTTAAAGAAAAAAAGACTTTCTTACAGTTCACCCACCTCCACTCTCAGTTGAAATAGTTCCTAAAACCACAAGTGAAAGGCATATAGAAGTTTATGAACTTACATTAGAAAATCTTTTCATGTGAGATTATCAAAATACATGTATGGTGTTCACCTGAAACACAATCTACAGCCTCATTCATTAACTAGATTAAAAGGCACACTGAGAAATCTAATATTGTGAAAAGTTTATTTCCATTAATTAACTCCTTTTTTCCCCACCATCATAAGAGATACTGACATTTGTTTGTTCTTTGTGATCAGAGAAAAGACATTTTGGAATGGATAATCTGTTTCTACTATTCTTTAAAGGAAGATAAAAATAAATCCAGTGCAAGTTTTCAGTAGTCACCCTACCTCCAGTGTACCCCAGCAAAATATTTACAGCTATTAGGAAACTGATAAATCCCAAGCTGCAATTACCATATTTTTTTCTCTCTGTTGTCTGTACTCATAAAAGATTCTATAGTATATTCCTGAATGTACACCATATTCTTACAAATGAATGGAGCTTAAAAGCAACCCTGATGACTGCCTTTCAGTGTCTTGAATCTCATAACCGCTGACAGGATCATACGGTCTATGTCCATTCCCAACATAAAAGGGATCAACTTCTATTGAGCAAGTCTAGTCTGGTTTTACTAACACTCTCTGCAAAATTCAATCGACCCACATAAGGTAGTAATAAGGTCTTTGAGTTTTTAATTATTATTATTTTTCTTCATTATAAAATGTATTTAATAAAATGTCAATATATGTGGAAGATGCAGCTTTAAAGATGTTTATTATAAAATTTTTTTATGCTTGATGCTTTGGATTTTTAAATAAGTCATCTCTTCAATAGACGTTTCTAAACTCACTTCAAATGATCTAAAATCCTGGAACAAGCTTAAACTACTGATCACTAAAAAGCTTAACAGATGTGTTCTCGACACACTCATCAGGATACATTTTTAAAAAACACTTAGCTAAGCTCTTTAATACAACATGACACTATGACTGTTACACATGATTCTCCCTAATTTATTTTCACTGTTGGACCTTCAAACCATCTTGGAATATGAAATTTTTTAAGTGCAAAAATAAGCAAAACATGATTTGAACATTTTGGAGACAATTAAAATCTGTCAGTATTTTCCTGTGACTCAAAAATAAATAAATAAATAAACAATAAGAATCAAACATCTTGTTTAGGCTGCTGGACTTGAACTTGTAACAAATATATTATTAGCATATAAAATGATTTTTACCTTATTTTGAAAGCATCAAATAGGTAGAATTGTCCAAAGTATGTGTGGAATTTTTTTAAAACAGACATCCATGTGTCCATATTCTACTGAAAACAAAATAATCAGACTAATGTGCACTTACTAAGAAGCAAGTTTAAAAATTTGGAATTCTTTTTAAAGTGCTCAGATTTAGAGAGGAATATCTTGAAGCATGCTAACCATTCCTTATGAAGAACAAAACAATGACTCTAGAAATCAAGTTTAGGAAAAAAAAAAAAAAACCAGAGGTTCTAGGAAAGGAAGATTAGTAACAAACAGTTCCCATTGAAGAAAGAATTCAGGTAAAAACAAATAGCACCACAATGAATTGCACTAAGGTGCTAAAGGAGGTACCTTATTCCCTGCAGAGTGAACGCTCCTTCTGAAATGTATTGCAACACATAAATGCAGTTGTTTAATGGTTACCATTTGGTTCATTCATCTACAGAAAATTGCATTCCTTCTAGTTCATTATATTGAACAGACATTCAAATTACTGAACTATACATAATGTTACATAGTTTACATTTTATGAAAACAAAGCTTGAAGGAATATTTATAAATGTCACCTTGAATATAAGATGACAAGTTTAAAAGGGCATCATATCTCTTAAGACATTTAATTTACGTTAATGGTCCAGGAGTGTTTTAGATATATAGATATAGATATATTTATATGCATATATATTTCAACAAGAAGTGTAAAAATTTTTAAAAACAAATCACAGCACTCATAGCTGCTTTACATACGAAGGTCTTAGGGTCATTAAGGTGTCAAACTATTACACTTATAATATGTATATTTTTAAAAAGAGTGAAAATGGCACATCAGAGAACTTGCTGAAATTCTTATTAGAGGCCCATTAATGTATTACTGATGTGTCAATTCAAAGTGTAGATTCCCTTTTCTTTGCTGAAAAGCATCTGTCCCTTCTATTTAGATGCACTTCTGGGGTCTCTGTGTTCTCTTTCCTTGGTTAGATGGCATCATTTTTCACGTCAAAGATCAGGAAAACGGCTTGGGTCTTCCTTGTAGTCATCAGGTATGGTAAAGATGGAGCCATCAAATTCATCATATCGAAACTCCTGAAAAGTCACAGTGGCTGTGATCGTAGGAAATACAGGTATATCTATAGAGAGAACAAGCAATATTAACACTGTAAAATCAAATGTTAATCTATTCGTACACCACAAAGTCCTATTCGAGATGCCCATACTCATCAGTTTCCAGTAGCCTTTCTTCTTTATCCTGAGGCAGAGGGACAGCTACTTTTGTACTTTCTCCATTCTGATATCTTTTCTTCATATAGTAAGTGTGTGCGTATTATAGTAAGTATGTGTGTATTATTTGAAATCTGGCCTGATTTACTTTCATTCTTAACTCAAGTGAAATGTATTCATCATTTTTGTTGTAAAAAATTATAAGCTATCCATCACTTAAATATGTGAGATTAAAACCAGTCACATCAGAACTGGAGTAATACCACATCACCATAGCCTAATATTCTAAATTATAAATTTCTGGCTGAGATTTTAAGTGAAATCTGACATTAAAAGTGGGTAAACAGAATGGCTCAATGGTACAGCATAAATGCATTGTTCAAGCAAAGCTGAATCTACAGGAAAATAATGGACTCAGTTCCCAGGCAACCTATGCGTGCCGGGTATTCACATCCATGAGCCAGGCTGGCTGGGAAGGCCGTGGGGCATCATGAAATGAGACACTACTAGTGGCACTTCTCCCTTTTTCTCTGTCTATACCTCTGTCTTTCATATTTATGAAAGAAATTTCTTTTAAATAGGGGCAGGCCAGCCCTGTGGCCTAGTGGTGAAGGTAGCCAGACACCGCTCATGGCCCACCTGCACATTTCAAGTCCTGAACATAGTGGCCTGGGAAACACTCTGGGCACATGTGCACGTGTACTCAAAATCCTGAAATGAGGGAGATGGAGGAGAAGGGATCGGGGAGAGACTATTCCCCATGGTGGCACATTCTCCTCTCTTTCTGACGAGCCCAGGAACCATCTTTGAATCAGTCAACCCATCAAATTAAAGAGATCACGTACATTAATTATTCTCCTTAGTTTTCTTCCTAATATGAATTTTTAAAAAGCATAAAACTTTGGGTTTTGATTCCTATAAATCAAATTACTTATGAGCCTTAGGGAATTCTCTGAAATTACCTTAAAACTCTGAAATTAAGGGGCCAACAAGTGATGCAGTGGTGCAGGCACTGGACTCCCACATGGCTGACCATGGTTCAAGTCCCAGACCTCATGGCCTGAAAATCACAACAGGCACATGTGTGTGAATACCCAAAATTCTGGGGGGAGATTGGAAGGGAAGAGACTGTAATGTAGCCATCCTTCCTAGAGGGCCATTTCTCACTTTCCTTCTCTCTCTGTCTCTGGCAAGCACACATACCCTATGGCAAAAACCTTAAAAAACAAAACAACCAAAAAAAAAAAAAAAAAAAAAAAGCCAACAACCAACCTGAAATGAAGTGCCTATCTAAAATAAAAACATAAACGTTGACTATTACAAATCTAATATTTTACTGCAGAAAATATTATGATGCTTTTTAAAAAACGTAATTAGACATAAGCACAAATATCAACAAATAAATCACAAATTTTCCATTTGTTTCTGGGTAAATCACTCATTTGTGCCTATTTTAGATAGATGCTGTTCTAATTCAGGGGTCGGCAAACTCAGGCTCACTGTCTGATCTATTTTTGTAAGGCCCATGATCTAAGAAAAGATTTCACGTTTTTAAATGGTTGAAGAAACAAAGATTAATATTTTGTGAGGTGAGAATTACATGAAAATAAAGCTTCAGTTTCCCTAAACCATTTTACAACACAACATGACCATTTGTTTATTAACTGTCTCCGGCTGCTATCATTTTCCATAAAGAGTTGAGTAGATGTGGCAGAAACCACATGGCACACAACACCTAATATATTCACTATATTTCAGAAAAAGTTTGTTGATCCCTCTCCTAGGAATTGGCTACAGATCAGTAAACATGAAACGAAATCCATGAATCTGTGGAGACTGCACTCTGGTTGGGAAAGACAGGCAACAGAAAAGTAAAAAGGAATGGTGAGAATTATCTAGAGAAATAAAAAGTACAGTAAAGGAATATAAAGCATCAGTTTTGGAGTAAGAGTTGTCGAACAGGTTGGTCAAAGGCCAATCTCTATGCAGTGATTGCTTAGCAAAGGCCTGAGACAAGAACCAAGCAATTGCCTAGAGGAAAATTTTCAAATAAGAAAAAAGAGAAGTATAAACGTCCTAAAAGGAAAGCATCTAGTTTATTCTGGGAAAAGCCAGGAGCCCAGTGTGGCTGCAGCAAAGTGAATAAGGAGATCAGTGAGAGGTCAGATCAGTGGGGAAATAGCCAGATCAGGAGATCAGGAGGCCTTCAAGGCAAAGGAAAGACTGGCATTCACTCTGGAAGAGGAAAAGCCAATGCGGAAGTGGGGATCAGAGTAGGACCTTAAGTCGTAGAAGATATAATGAAAATATAATGTAAGATGACAAGGAGAAAAGGGACACGTTCTCCAGGAGTGGTCAGAGAGGCAGGATGAAAAACTCAAACACAATTCTATTGGAGAGTTGGGAAATTTGAATGATTTGTCTCATTCGCTAATACAAAGACTCCAAAGAAAACAGTCAAACTTGAAGAGATTAAGATCAAATAGAAAATTTTCTACTAGGCTTAACAATATGAATATCAATAATAAAGATAGTAACAGTGAAAGAGATCAAGAGAACCAGCAATGGACTAAGAAAGTGAGTAAATTTTTTGTCTGAGATAATTACAGACTCACATGCAATATATGAAATAGCACAGAAAGATAAGATCCCTGAACCCTTTATATCCCTGTTTCCTTTATCCAGTCTTCCCCAGTAGTAACATCTTACACATAATATAATATCAAAATCAGGATATGGACAGTACAGTAAAAGATAAAGGGTATTCCCACCACTATATGTTGCCCCTTATTGGATCACCTATGTCCCTTTTAAAGCCATATTAACTTCCCTCATGTACCTGTACCTTTTCTTCCTTAAACCATGGCACAGGTTTTATTCTTTAGTTTTTTTCACTTCAAGCACTTCATATAATAGGAACCACACGGAATGTAATCTCTCTCTCTCTCTTTTTTTGTTATTCAGCAAAATTCTCAGACAATTCATCTAGGTTGTTTCATGTATCAAAACCCGGTTCTTTTTTCTTGCTGCATAGTATTCCACAAATGGATGAATCACCATTTGTTTACTTGCTGAAAACTGTAGGTTTTCACCATTACAAATAAAATTGCCACGTAATGAGCATTTGTAAACATAATCTTCACCTTTCTGGATGATAAATGCTTAGGACTGCAGCTGCTTGACTGTATGGCAGCTGCATGTTTAGTATTTTTTTTCTTAAGAGAGTTTTGCTATAGGGTGCTTGTGCTCACCAGAGAGACCAAGAGACAGACAGATAGAAAGTGAGAAAACACCCCCCCAGGGGATACAGACACATCACAATCCCTTCTCCTCCATTCTCCTCTTGGGATTTTGGGCACACATACACACGCACCTGGCCTGAGTTTTATGCTGCCAGGTCTGGAACTCAAACTGCAGTCGACTACATGGGAGTCCAATAACATAACCATTATGCCATCTGCTGGTTCCTGCATGGTTAGTATTTTAAAAAACTGATAAAATGCTTTCATTGCTCTATAAGCAATGGTTAAGAAGCCAGATACCACAGGCCAAACACACTGAAAGACATAGTCCTGGCAGCCTGAAAAACCCACTGGGCACATGCGCATTCATGACCAAAATCCCCACAAGATGAAGAAACAGAGGAGAAGGAATTACAATATGACCACACCCCTTTGAGAGGTGTTCTCTCTCTCTCTCTCTCTCTCTCTCTGCCTCTCTGGAGTGCATATACACCCTGTACCAAAAAAAAAAAAAAGTAAAGAATAGAAAGAAAAAGATTTCCAGAGTGTCTTTGCTATTTTACATTACCATCAGTAACGTCTGAGTGAACCAGTTTCTCCATATCCTCATGAATAGTCAGTATTCCTACATTTTATTTCCGTCATTCCCTCATTTATAATATAATTGTAAAGAGGGAGTAAGAATGAAGAGACCCAAGTCAAATTTTAGATAGCTTGGCTATGGAAAACGAAGTTTAGGGCTGGCAGGTGGCATGGTGGTTAAAGGTGCTGGACTCCACATGGCCGACCACAGTTTGGGTCCTGGACCTGGTGGCTTGCTTTCTCACGTTCCCTCTGTCACTCTCTGATCAAAGTGAAAAATAATAATAATAACAACAACAATAAATAAAGTTAAATAAGATAATCCTTTAACGGAAAAAAAAAGAAACGCAAAGTTTAAAAAAAGTGCTAGGTAGGGTGGCATTACAGAGTTTGGGGGGTTTTTTTTTACAATTTTTTTTTAGTTTGTTATTGGAATTTTAAGAGAGGAAAGATGCAAACAAGCCTAATGAGGAAAGACAACAGAAGAGGGAGCTGTAAGGTAAAAGAGAAGTATGGAATGAATGAAAAGAGGAGAAGAATAGATCCATAATAAATTAAGACATTTTTCAAGCTAAAAAGAGGGGCATCCTTTCTACTAAGATAGAAGATTGGAGAAAAAGTTGGGGCTTGCACAGAAAAGTCCACGTGAGGGATTGGGAGCAGTAAGTGAGATCTCATTTCCGATAGTCTCTTCGTTTAAAAAAAAGAAAAAAGTAAAAATCATCTACACAGTGGTGGAAAGGATGGAGATATGACAAAAGAGGTTCAAATTTAGCCTTTGAGAAGAATGAAGGAACAATAAATCAGAGAAAATACCATTCATAATCACCATTTAAAGCTTGAGGTGTGGGCCTGTAGGTGTCACAGTGGTTAAGGCTCTGGACTCCTATATGGCCGACTGTGGTTTGAGTCCCAGACGAGGTGGCTTGCTGTCTCACTTTTCTTCTCTCTCTCTGTGTCTCTCTCTGGTGAAAGCACATTATATTACAAATTTTAAAATACTAATACTAAATAAATAAAATTAAGTAAGTCTTTAAAAAAAAAGCTTAAGGTGATTTTGAAAACATCTAACTATGCTAGCAACAACTTCTACACTTACACAATTTTCACCCAATCATTTTTTTTTCAATCCTTAATATAGAAACAGAAATGGTTAAAGTTTCACATTGGTTTTTCAAAACAAATAAAGAAACAAAAGAGAAAGAGCTAAATAAATATCCCATAACTTTAGGTACACAAAAGCAAAAGGCTATCATCCCCTTTTAGTAACATCAGAAAAATGCCTGCAAAAAAACATGTAAACATTTTTCCTTTCTATATAAACAAAATATTTCTCCTGCATAAAAATCTATATTGTACTGAGAGGTCTGGTTTGGGTTTGGAACTTAAAAATAGATGCAAGTTCAGAGACAGTTTGAAATTTTTATCTATTCAACTCTTGTTCTCTACTGTAGCCCATCATTATGCCTCTTAACAATACCTAGAAAGGATGCCAGTACTTGGAAGTGTTCTCTCGCCATAGAAAATGGCGGTGGACTTTAAGGCTTCTGCAGAAATGCCTATTCAATGATCCTTCATCCACTGATTAGAACACACAGCTTTTGGGGGCTGGCATGCGGCATGGTGGTTAAGGGCACTGGACTCCACACGTGGTCGACCACGATTCGAGTACTAGACCTGGCAGCTTGCTTTCTCACTCTCCTCCCCTTACTCTGTCCCTCTCTGATCAAATTAAATTTAAAAAAAAAATTCAATTAAATAATTCTTTTAAAAAAAAGAACACACAGTTTTTGATTGCTTCTATTTTCTAAACTTTTCTGCCTAAGATCATATCACTGGTATCTAAGACAGTTGGTTCCCAGTGCTTTTGTATTGCATAAGGTACCTAACATGACATTTGAAAAAACATTTGAAAATCAATTCTTTTTTGGAGAGGATTTTGCTATAGGGCATGTGCACTCGCCAGAAAGATAGAGACAGAGAGACAGAAAGCAAGAAATCACCCCCCACCCCCAAGGTGGGATGGACATGCCGTAATCCCTTCTCCTCCATTCTCCTCTTAGGATCTTGGGCACGCATGCACATGTGCTCGGCATGAATTTAAGCCACCAGGTCCAGGACTCGAACTGTGGTCGACTACATAGGAGTCCAGCAACATATCCATTACGCCAACTGCTGGTCCCTTGAAAATCAATTTTAATTAAAAATTGCTTATTTCTAAATTCAAAATATTGAGAAAGTGGTTTAATTTTTAGCAATGAATTATTTCTGGGAGGAAAGCATTTTGGCCCTAGTTATTGTGAAATGTATTTTTTCTTTTCTTTTTTAGGGCATGTGTGCTTGCCAGAAACACAGAGAGACAGAGAGACAGAAAGCAAGAAGCCTCCCAAGGGGGGATTGCCATGGTGCGATCTCTTCCCCTCTTGGTATTTTGGACATGCTCACATGCCCAGCCTGAGTATTAAGCCATTGGGCCCAGGACTTGAATCATGGTCAAAAACATGGGAGTCCAGTGACGTAACCATTATGCCATCTGCTGATCCCCTAAGATGTATTTTTTAAAATACTGAATAATGTAAGTTAAATTATATCTGAGGAATTATATAAAAATTATAATTACTATCTTATTTATTTTTCCCTCCTACTTAAATGTAAAGAAAACGGGGACTTCTGCTGTCTCCCATTGCTAAGTGTATCTGGCACACAGCAAGCACTGGTTAAATACTAGGTGGCTTAATGGATGAATGCTTACATTAATGCTGAATCTAAGCCTAAACTCCTAAAATACCTATTAACAGTCTATTTCTTGTTCTCAGTTTACTATGTGCAAAAATGAGAGTTTACTGTCTCCTTTTATTTTTCAGAGATTTTTGCTATATGGCATGTGCACACTCACCAGACAGAGAAGAGACAGAAATATAGAAAGCAAGAAATGAAGTTTTTTGAAAAAAAAAAAAAAAAAAAGGGGGGGGGATGGCCATGCCCCAATCCCTTCTCCTCCAGTCTCCTCTTGGGATTTTGGGCATGCACACACATGCACCCAGAGTGAGTGTTAAGCCACTGGGCCCAGGGTTTGAACTGCGGTAGACGACATAGGAGTCCAGCAAAATAACCATCATGCCATTTGCTGGTCAGGAGTTTTCTCTTTCCAGTGATTATTGCTTCAGATGAAATAAGTTTCAACATTTAAGACTAAAAAAAAGTATATGTATTACTTTCTCCATGAACAGTAACTACTGACTCCAGAAACATTCCCACTACGCAGAAACTCAGAGTACACCGAAACTTGGGGCTAAACTCCAATCTCCCTATGGCACACTAAAAACATTCCTACACTGCACCATTAGTTCATTCACACCTTGTATGAAATATTTTCAGCTAAATGAAGTAGAATTAGAATTCTCATATCTGACAACATGAATATGAATGCAAATTTACAAAAATATAAACAATTAGGAAATCCATTTTTCTTTAAAACACTTTTATAATTGTTTATAAACAGCTCTATATTTCTAACTGACATTAAAATCACACTTTTGCTCTTACCTAATTTCACAGGAAAGCCTGGAGGAAGCTTCATTTGAACAAATTCTCTAAGCTTGTTAAAGTGCTTGAAGGGAGCTATTACTTCTAAAACATTCAACAATCTGAAAAAGAGAAGGAAAAAAATGTTTTCATTGTATAACTGAATTTTCTGTGTCTTTTTTTTTTTACTGCCAGAGGGCACATGCACTCACCAGAGAGAGAGAAAACAACCTCCATAGGAGTGCATTGATCCTGTAATCCTTTTTTCTCTATTTCCCCATCCTGTCAGGATTTGGGACGTACTCAAATGTGCTCACTTGGTGTTTGTTTCAAGCCACAAGGGCTGGGATTCAAACTGCATTCAGCCATATAGGATCCATCTCCCTATGTACAAGGCTTAACCTCTTGGCTATGGTTGGGGGTGGGGTGGCGGGAGGTGTTTTTTGTTTTGTTTTGTTTATCGGTACCAGTTTCAAACTTAAGACAGAAGTACTGACTTCCAGATTTTAAGGAAAAGAAATTACTTCTTTTTTTAGGAGAAAATTTTGCTGTAGGGCACATGTGCTCACTGGAGAGATAGACAGACAGAAAATAAAAAATCATCCCCTAGGGGGATGGCCACTCCACAATCCCATCTCCTCCATTCTCCTCCTAGGATCTTGAGCTGCACACATAAGCCTAGCATGAGTTTCAAGCCACCGGGTCAGGGACTCAAACAATGGTGAACCATGTGGGAGTCCAGTGACGTAACATTATACCATTTGCTGGTCCCAGAAAATTAATTTTTTGTTATTCTTTTTATTGTGTCAAGATGTGTAACTTTTGATTGTAGAGTCATAATTTCCACAGTTGTTTGATTTTAGGTCCATATTTAAATGGAAACAATGTTTACATCTATCTTCTTTTTAAAAATTCTGTCAGAATGCACATTCACTAGCCAGAGAGAAAGAGGAAGATGAAGAAAGCACCCCCAATAAGGTATAGTCATTCTGTAACCCCCTTCTCCATTTCTCCATTCAGTCTGGATTTTAGCCACGTTCTATACACGTACCTGGTATGTTTTTCAAGCCAAGGGTCAAGCCACCATTGGCCATGTGGGATCTGGCACCTTTAACTACTAGGCCTCAGGGCTAACCCATCTATCTTCTTTAAATCTACATATTCCTGAGCTATTTAATTAGACTTGCTATTTGGTGACTAAATGTCACTGTCAATTTGTCCCAGGCGTGAAGGGCTCTTATGTACTTAGTATTCCTTGACTTGATAAACGAGTGTTTTTCTTTATACTTACGGGGAAATCTGTATCACATAAAATTTCAGGTTATACTATCTTTCTCTCTGAACTAAAATTTAAAAATGTCTCCTAGCATTCTAACATACTAATATACTACAACTTCTCTTTTAATCTTCCAGTTGGATAAATTTCATTTTCAAGTGGTATTAATATTCTTTCAAAATAAGGGTCTGTGGCTACTTTATTTCTTGAACTTGTTCATGTTTGAGAATATCTTGCAGTTGTCTTGCCAATAAATGACATTTTAGCTAGATATACTAGGGAGATCACATTTTCTTTGCCTCAAAAATGTCAAGACATATGAAAAAGCAGAAGGTCAGGTTGGTTTCAGCCCTTTTCTGCCTGGATGCTTTTAGATTCTTTCATTTTTTTCTCAAGTTTTAACATTTTATTTCTTTCATGAGAGAGAAACCCTGGACAGGGTCCTCATACCATGATTCTCCCCCTACCTTTCCAGCTAGCCAGTCCCTTGTGTACATGAGTGTGCCTGGCATGTTCAGGTTGGCCTGGGATCCAAACCGGGAACTCTCATATGGCTCAAGTATCATTCAGCCGCATCCTACGACCTCCACCACTGTAGCTAGGTCTAGACTTCTTTAATAACAACTGAAGTCAAATAGTTTAATCAGAATATTTTTTGTTCCTTATTTTTCTGTATCAATGTTTCTTGGTTCCTTGTTATCCCAGAGATTCAATTCAACCATAAAGACATTTCTATTGTATTTTCAATATTATTTTGGTGACATTTAGTGGTGAATAAATGCTTTTTCTTGAAGGGTATTTATTTCTTCATAAAAGAGAAAGAGAGAGATCTTCCCCCAACAGGGTCTTCATGCCATGATCCATCCCCAGCGTCAGCTAGCCAGGACCATAAACACGCATGTGCCCAGCACATTAAGGGAGGTAATCCTGGGATCTTCCCATGTGGGTCCACATGCATTACTGCTATATTACCATCAAACTCTTTTCATTCTAGAACATAGTATTTGACTTTTTTGCATGTTCCTTTTAGTTTTATTTTTCCCCAGAACTAATTTTATAAATTCTAAAACATCCATTTTTAATGCATAACATCCTTGAAATTGAGATTAATTCCTAAAATTAACTGCATCATAAAATGTTTCTTCTTTATTAGTAAGTGAAACATAATTTTGGTGCAACTTTGAGTCAGCTGGGTCCTACATATGATGAATTATGACAGATTTATATGTGTGGCCAACTTCGTTCTCACATTTTCTGAGACTTATCCCTGTGACCCACAGCTTGAGTGTATACAGAACATTCTATCTACTTTTCTAAAGCTTAGGCATGCAGCAAGGTCCACGTTATGTATGAACTTCATTAAGATTTGAAGGGACATATTCAAGACATTCATTGTAATACTGTTCATAATGGTGACAAACTACAAATAATCAAAATGATTATCAGTAAGGAAATGACTAAAGTATATCAATACTGTGAAATACCAAGGAAGGGTCAGCTCCATGGTGAAGCAGTAATGGGCTCACTGCTTAAGCAGAGCTAGATCCTACATGGTGACTGCAGTTCAAGTTCCCAGCCTGGTTGGCCTGAGACATACCAGGCATGCACGCAAGTACCCAGGATCTGATGGGCTGTACGACTGTAGGAAGGTCATAACATGGCCAAGCCCTACAGAGGCTGCTGCCCCCAAGTTCTCTCTCACATGCACACACATGCTCTATCAAAATTAAAGGGGGGAAAAAAAAGATCAACAAAAATGTAATTTCTTTAAGAACCCCAAGATACATTCACTTTTAAAGAAAATAAATTAGAACACAATATACGCTATTCCTCTATTTTTATAAAAATGCAAAATCAAAGGTAAGTCCACACAAAAGTACACCAGTCATTAACTATAATATGATAAATGAAAATGATCAGTTATTCTATAAACTTTCATACATTCAGAACTTTTTACAAGTATGTATTTATGTATTACTTTTATAATTTTTTAAAACACTTACTCAAAAATGTAGCTGGTAAAAATAATAAAAATAATAACTTTTGCGAACTAGAAAAATGCCCAAGAGAAAGGTACACTCGCTGTCAAAAACCATTTGCATTTGCATCTCAAATGCCTCAAATGTACCACGCTGATGCAAATATTACTGCAATGTGGACTTTAGGGTTTAATACCTGCTTTCATAAATGTGTATAGTTAGTAACAAACTTACGACTCAATCCCTAAGGGAAACTCCTGGCTCATGGCTATCGTGGCTTTAAACGTTTTTTTACTCTCTTTGCATACCAGTTCTCTACCCAGATGAGGAGCTCTAAAATGCAAAAAATAAAAAAGAAAATGTTAGGTAACTTCTTTCCACAGTTTATCAGCTAAGAAAAATCTGTCATCATCCAGTGACATGCATTAAATATGTCAATTTTTCTTCCTCTGCCTATATAAATCAATTAAAATTATACAAGGGGAAAATGATGTATTTAAGAAATGAGATGATGGTAAGAAAAAGGAAAATAGAAAAAATTAAAAATTCAGAAAAAAAGTGATCAGATCTCAATTAATTTCATATTGAATCATTACTGTATTTAAGAACAAAGAAAATCACTAGGGAAAAAAACTTTAGAAGTACCGTCATTTAATCTTTAAAATTACTAATTTAATTTCCT